TTATTCGAGTTTTTTTTTTAAAAATCAAAATCGATGAAGTCCGCTCATCGAGCTCGGCCGAAACACGACCTCAATAAGCGGAGGGACTAACTGTATGGGCCAGAATACGATCTCACGATAATTAACGGAGTTAATCTCGTCTTGAGCTAATCCATAATTAATAAGTGGTATGGCCACTTATTCATAACAGGATTCGACTCTTGTCCGATTTAATCTACAAGGGCACGGCCCATTCATTCCCCCGTGGGGACGGAACCTCACCGTGGCCACGGCCATTTATTGCCAGCTCACGAAGCTCACATCTATAAATACTAAGAGTGGAAGCCCTAAAAAGGGGGCTGCTTCTTCATCACTATTCACAAAAGAGAGAGAGAAGAGAAAAATATACCCATCTTATGGGAAGAGAAAACACCATTGTAAGGCTCTGAACCTCTTCATAGAGAGGCAGACCAAGCAAATATTATCAATAAAAGCTGTTAAGATTTCTTCTCCTAACCTTGAGTACTTATTTTCATGTTCTTCGCTTGGTCCAATGGATTATTACGATTTGCTATGATTTTTCCGTGATTTATTTATATTGTTTTATACTCATAAGATATGTGATAACTTTTGAGCAAACAATTACACTTTGCTCATAAAAGGGAATATAATTTCCTCTTTGTTACCCAAACATTCTTTTGGGGGCGGCCAATGGCCTAAAATTATGTAATAAATTAGAAAATATTAAATGTTTTACCATGTCAACAAGGGTAATCCAATTTATCAAACAAATACAATGAATTTTCCTTGTGCAAAACATTACTTTTTCTTTTCCTTCATTCTTTCTCTCAAGGTTTAAAAAATAAAATATATTCTTATTTTTGAATGATCTGTTCTCTTCCATAGATTCACACGCCACGCAATCATATGTCATTAGACATATATCTATTGGCTGCTTGCGTAATTTTAATATGGCTAAATTAATGCTTAACTAGAAGATTTAGGCTCCGTTTGTACATAAAAAAAAATTTCTTTTTTGTTCAATTTTTTTTCTTCAAAAATGTGTATTTCCGTGAAATTTTGTAAGTTGTTTGAAAAAATTTCGAAATTGAGTTTTTCAAACTTTTCAGAAAAAATTACCCCCCCCCCCCCCCTCCACCACAAAATTGCAACATTTTTAAAGTGAAATTTATATCCAAACATAATTTCAAATTTTAAATACCATTTCTCAACTTAAATCCAAATACTACCATTTTTCAAAATTTATAATTTATATGTCCAAATGGCTACTTAATATCTAATTTGGGACGAAAAATAGAGTTTTCGACTTGAAAGACACACTCACATATATAACCTTCTTGAGAATCGTATTTTACTTGCCAAATGAAATAGATGTATTTATGTGAAATTCACCATACCACTTGCAGAGGCGGATAAAAAACTTAAACTTTATGAGTTCGAATTCGAGAATATATTACGGTATATTTGATTTTCTAAGTTTTTTACAATTATTTTATAAATTTTGTGAATATATATACAAAGTTTGAACTAGAATTAATGATTCAGATAAATATACGTATACACTAGATCCGCCTCAGTACTTGTGCGTATATAAAAGGAATTTTTACCTCTTATACCAAAATTTAACACCTTATTTATTTTAAATAAATACCATTTGAAAAAATTATATTCTATAGATACCTTTTAAGGTTTATAGCAACATATTTAATTTTGGTTTCCTCCTAGCCCTAAGCCACTAAATACGCTAATCAGTTACACTTTTTTCTTTCTCTCTCTACTTTGATACATCCCATTCTCCCAAAATTTCGTGGACCTCTTCCTCTAATATCAACTCTCTTTTCTCCCAAAGTTTCGTGGACCTCTTCCTCTAATTACTCTTTCTTTTTCCAAAATTCTCATCTTTGATCAAAGAAAGAAGATATGAAGAAGAACAGTGCATAAGAGAATTCATGGGCTGATCAGTGGGACTACAATAATACAGAACCATATTCCAAAGACACCAGAAAAAGTAATTCCGGCGGCGGTGGAGTGTCAAAGAAGGTGGGAGATTGTGCAATTAAATATAGCAGCAATTCGTCAAGCATGATCTCACCAGAATTGGAAGAAGTCATCTTGCCAAACAACTCAGAGTGAAATTTCCACGAAGGCGGCGCGTTTTCACTACCGGCTTCCGGTGAACAGCGGATTCGCCGGAAATTAGGGTTTGTTCTTGAACTAATACGATGGAGTTTGGGACTGAGCAATTTGATTTTCTGTTAATATATTTCAATGTATTTTCATGTATTTCATTGTATTCATTGTCTTTTTTTTTTCCATTGTAATTCAATGCATCTCGTTGTATTCCATGTATTTCATTTTATTCACTGTCTTTTTTTCTCATTGTATTTCAATGTATCCCGCTGTATTCTATGTATTTCATTGTATTCACTGTCTCGCTATATGCCATGAATGTATTCATAAGTTTTTTTTAATTAATATAATTTATGTATTCAGATGTATTATATAATTTCTCTGAAGATTGCTATGTTTTTGGGGTATTATTCGGTTGAGAATCTTTTTTATAACTGAAAATACAAAATTTGTGTGTTATAATTGAGTTTGTTTAGTTATATTAGGAGTCTATTATGTTAATTGATTCACTTTTCGTTTTAAAAATAGTGTAATCCCCTATTTCACGCCGTGAATACAGTCGAATACAATAATCTGTCCAACTGTAATCCCATGTTTCACTCCATGAATACAGTCGAATACACTCGAATACAACAACTGATTAGCTGGACTTCCCTGATTCACGCCTATTTTTGCTACTGTATTCATGAATACAATAGCTTAAATACATCAAATACATCTTATATCCACATAAAAGGTATCTATAATCCGTAATATAACAAATGATATCTATAGATGGCTAATTACTACTAAAAGATAGTGCTTTATGAAAATTTCTCTATATAAAATCGTTCATTATTCAAATTTGATATTTACACTAAGCTCATAATTAATACATAGAAGCTATTAATTAAAATAAAAATTTATATTAATTAACTATAATTAAGTTATTACATATTTATGGCTATATATATATATATATATATATATATATATATATATATATATATATATATATATATATATATATATATATATATATATATATATATATATATCAAAGGTGTATCAAATCAAAGGTGTTTCAGCTTAGAATTTACGGACAGCTCTTAATTATTAGGGTCAAACTCATGCTGACCTGACAAACGGTCACCGCAAAAAAAAAAAAAAA